TTAAAATTTCAGCTTAATCAGATAAAAATTAATTGACTTGTCTTAGTAACAACTAGTATTTTTCTAATGAAACCTATTCTTAGATTTTTCCTTTATACTTGCAGAGTTTGAGAAGGTATCTCATAGTCATCACTAATTTGTTAGATTGTTTCTACTTCTTTAAAGAGAGCAACTAACTAGAAAGACTAATAATAGAAATACTTTACATAATATTCTTGTTACTGTATTTTGTCAAAGTCTTTAGAACATTTTTGTAAAACTTAATAAAGAATATTTAGAGTAATTTGCAATTATGAAAGAGGCAATAATTAAAAATATATGAAAATATCAATAAATGTTTATTTCAAAGTATCAGAAACTTATTTTTATTATGAAAGAATGTGAAAACTCAATAATAAAATCAAGGTCTATATGTACTATTTTTATACTTTACATAATATTAGAAATATAACAGGCTACATATATTACATGAGTTATAAGGTGAATGTGGGTATTATAGCAAAGTTAATACTTGCTACTAATAAAGTCTAACAAAAATTTATTTTTTTATAAAATTTTTTTTAAATTTATGTAAATTTTAACTTGCTTTACAATTATAGTGTAAAAAAACCGAGTTTTATATAAATTATGTACTGTTACTTGGAAGGATACAATTTTTAATTTCATAAGGGTAAAATAGCAAACGATATGCAAATTGATGATCATCAAATATAAATTTTATTATTAAGTTTTCGAATATGAAAAACTTAATTGATTACCGTTACATGTTTTTTACCTGTGTTTTTTCTTTTTTTTCCTCTTTTTGATGATTTGTTTCAGCTTTTTTTTTTTCTTTTTCAGCTTTTTTCCTTTCTTTTTCAGCTTTTTTCTTTTCCTTTTCAAATTTATATGCTGCTCGCTTTTTAGCAGCAACTTCTTTTTTTCTTTTCACAGTTTCAGCTTTCGTTCTGACTAGCTCTTCTGCTTCTTTCAACTCCTGCAAAGAATTCTCATTTGTAAGAAGTTTAGCAAATGGAAGCATTTTTTTTTTTTTTGTAGTTCGGAATTGAGATTCAGTGCTATTAGATTCTTGTTCAGTAGATTCTTGTTCAGTAGTTTGTGAAGAAAGACGAGAAACAGGATACTTAAGTACTATTTTTAAAGAGCAGATACTAGGATTTTTAAAAGTCTCTAGTTCTTCACTTATTGATTTATATTTTCGTTTCAATAACTCATTTTCTTTTTTCAAGATTTCAACATCTTTTTCAAGAAACATAAAATCAGCTTTCAACAATTCTGTTTCATGTCAAGTGGTATACTTATGAGTCATTAAAAGAGATATGACAAAATTTAGTTGAGGAGAAGGAGACGAAGATAAGGAATTTTGTTGATTAAAATAAGATAAAAATGAAGAACTTAGTTGAGAAGAATGAGGTAAAGATAAAAAATCAGCTCGTTCTGTTGTTAATGAAAGGGCAAGACGGTCAGGACTTATTGCATTGGGATTAAATGACCAAATTCCTGTAGCTCTAAAGGAATTTTTAATTGCTTCTAGATTATAAGTTGCTGCAAATACTAGCTCAAGGATTCTTGCAAATGTGTGCTTGGTTGCTACTTCAACTTTACTATTATGAAGCTGGTCACAACCTTTACTATATTCACTTTTTAGTGTGGCAAAAGGAAGTTTAGAGGGTTGAAGAATATAAGTCGTATGAGGGGGAAGTGCATATAATAAAATTTTATTCTTATCACAATATTTTATGCTTATATAGTTAATATGACTCTTATACCCATTAAGCATAAGCAAAACTGGACGAGAAGAGGGAATCGAACTGACAAAATGCTCAATATACATTTGGAAGAGTTCTTCTTGCATGTATCCTGAATTGGTAAAGCCTATAACAGAGCCACGTAGGGCACTAGATAATAAACCTAGGATTGCACGAATATCTTTATAAATGAATAGTGGAGGAATAAAATTACTAGCAGCTGAGATTGTTGGTGTGACAGAAATATGATCATGTGAATTTCCTTGTGAGATTTTATGAACTTGACGAGCTCTTTTTAAAGAGTTGGTACCATAAACTTAATAGCATATTTAATTTATTAACAACTATAACAATCTTTTTCATTACTAACCTTTTGTCGCGAGAACTTTTTGAATTTTGGGGGCAATAACGAAGCCAGTCTCGTCCATATTTTAGATGTGGTCTGGAGTAAGTAAATATTTTTCAATTATCTTCTCTAATTTATCAAAATGATCTTTTATTATTATCAGATTTGCCTTTTGGGTACATGCTTTTGATGAAGCTTGAGGCATTCGAAAAGATAAGTCTGAATAGTCCTTCATAAAATGATTCCACCAATCTCTTCCTGGCCCTTTAGTTGCAAATGGATAGAAACAATTATCATTATATACTATCTCTATCACACAATAATTCAAACTTGATTTTGTCAAACCAAATCCCAACTTCTGCATATTTTTGAAGTAATCCACTAATTGTTCTTCTTCATGTATACTTAGAACTGTTCCAGAGCCAGAACGTTTAGGTAAACCTTTTTTAATAGTGTGTCTAAGTGTTGTCTCTAGAATTTCAAACTTTGAGGCAGTTGAATTTACACTCAGATTCGTGGGCCTACAAGTTCTTTAAGTATTGCATTAATTGCATTACAACAATCTTTTTAACTAAGTCTTATTGTTTTTTTATTAGACATTTTTTTAGATACAGTTTTCATTTTTTTCAATTTGGCTCTCAAGCTTAATTTTTTTACACATTTGGTTTTAGTCTTTTTAATGAGTTTCATTTTTTGTTTTAATAGTTAACTGTATTAGTAAATAAAATTGGATTTAATTTTTATTAAAAATAATTGTTTTATGACCAAAAATAATTATGGTTTTATTGATACTTCGAGATCTAAACTGTTGAATTTTGGAGTTTAAGTATTTAAATAGCATCCTTTTATTACAAGATAATAAGAAACTGTATCTTATTTTTATTGAATACGAATAACAAATAAAAGCATTAATTGTAATCACTAAAAATATTTTACTTTAATAGTGCTTTGCAAAATTATGCAACCCTTATGATTATTAATTTTATTATAGAATAATTGCGATTGTGATTGCTAAGACTAACTGATTCATTATAAATAAACTTATTTATAATAAATTAATTGGCTCTAGAAATCGCAATCATAATTATTTTAATAATATTTTTGAATTAGATCTATAGCAAATATAAATTTAGAATTACGTATATGCAATTGTATAATGCTTTTCTAGTGAGCTAATGTTTAGCTTTATGCATGTAGAGATGTAATAAAAATTTAAACAGTAATGTTTTTGTTTTAATTTCCTTTTAAAATTTAGCAATCAAATATGAAATTAATTACCATTACCTTTTAGATCAAGTTGCTAACTATTTTGATATATTAATAATCGAATAAGTGTATAAATTACATATTTTCAATGATTATACCATAGAGAAAAGTTTAATATATAATAGAAAAGTAAGTACTATTAAATTTACAATCATGATCACTATTGTTCGTAAATTTGATAATCTTCTTATCATATTTCTTGTCTTTCTGATAAATCGTTCTCAACAAAAAAAGAGTTCAAACAAAAACTTTGCTGTATATTAAAGTTCTACTTTTACAATTTCAAGATTTTTTTTATTGTTCGAGTAATGAAACTTTTGAAGTCGCTTAAGTCCAAACACTTATTTACAATTAATTACCTAATACCTTCAAATAGTAGATGAGTATAAAGATGATTTATTTATTAACATTAATTAGTGAAATTAAAAATATGAATATAAATACTTATTCATAAATACTTAATTCTAAATACTTATTTACAATTAATTAATTATCTAATACTCTTCAAATCATTTCATTCAAATTAATTTAGTCTGTAAGTATAAAGATGATTTATTAACGTTAATTAGTAAAATTAAAATTATGAACATAAATACTTATTTGTAAATACTTATCTCTAAATCTTATCGTTATTTATAATTAATTATCTAATACCTTTTAAATAGTAGGTGAGTATAAAGATGATTTATTAATGTTAATCTGTAAATTAAAATCATGAACATAAATACTTATTTACAATTAACTACCTAATACCTTCAAGTAGTGGGTGAGTATAAAGATGATTTATTAATATTAATCAGTTTCATTAAAATTTATAAATACTTATCTCTAAATACTTCTTATAATTAATTACCTAATACCCTTCAAATAGTAAGTGAGTATAAAGATGATTTATTAATGTAAATCAGTTTTATTAAAATTATGAATATAAATACTTATTTATAATACTTATCACTAAATATTTATTTATAATTAATTACCTAATGCCCTTCGAATTATTTCTTTCATTCGCATTAATTTAGCCTGTAAGTATAAAGATGATTTTTTAATGTTGATCAGTAGAATTAACTATATGAATATAAATACTTATTTATAAATATTTATCACTAAATATTATTTACAATTAACTACTCAATACTCTTCAGATCATTTCTTTCGTTTACATTAATTTAGTCTGAGAATATAAAGATAATTTGTTAATATTAATTAGTAGAATTAAAATCATGAAATACTTATTTATAAATACTTAATTCAAGTACTTATTTACAATTAATATCTTTTGAATAGTACATAAGTATAAAGATGATTTATTAATCATAAAATTAGCCAGATATATTAATTTAAAAACAGCTATAATAGATAATTAATATTTTTAGCATTTGTCAGATCATATTAAAAATTTTATAGTCTCTAATTGTACCTTGCATAGAGTGTAGATTTTTGAGCTAGTTTGTGTTTTTTGATAATATACTGTGATATATATATGAGAATCGAAAATTTTAGTACCATTCGATTCGTCTTACTAAGATGAATCGAATGGTACCAAATTCATTTTATTTGATATTTTGAGTTCCGATTCTAACAAATTTGATGTAGATCTGATATGATTAGTCAGAAATTGAATAAATCAAACTTTTTATTTAATTTTTAAATGAAAATCTAATATCAAGAAGATATAAATTAGTTCTATACAAATTAGATATCTTGTTTCCATGTGAATCATGACAATCTTTACAAAATTTTTGAAAACTAGAACTAAATTCTTCAATTTTAAAAAATAACTCTGCAAATTTGCATATTTCTAACCTCTTCATAGTAAATCGATACTTATTTCCTTCATCAAAACCACTATCACCTGTGGCTTTATTGAATTTTCTATTCATTAAAAACATATAATCTATCTTCACTAGATATTCAAAATAATAAATAACTTCACCAAAAAAAATAATAAAATCTTTGATTCAATTGTATTGGCTAATGTAAGCGAAATGATCGTCAATTAACTCAACAACTTCATCCATTACGATGAGACCTAAAAAATATTGTATAGTATCACTCAACCTCTCATGAAGAAACAGAAGTACATAGTGCATACATTTTTTAAACTCAGCCATGTTATAAGTAGTTTGTATTAAGTTATTACAAAGGTTAAGGATCAGATTATTTGAATCTTCACCTTGTAAATCGAAATAGTACCATATATTTAATATATAACTTATTATAAATTTTTTATGTTTTGAAAAGAGCTTTTAATGAAAGTATAAAATTTATTTGATTTATATTAAAGAAACATCGTTTAAAATTATAAATTTGGTTAACAATCAATACAATTTGCTAACCTTACAAGTTTAGCTTTAAATTTCGCGATTCAATTTAACAATCCTGATTATACTTCAAAAATTATAATTGTATAGAACAAAAACAATCATAAAATGACTAGAACAGCTATTGAAATTGTGAGTTGCATGATAATTGCTACTACAAATAGGTTGCATAAAACTTTTACATTGTTACATGATTAGGAAATTCGAAACAAACATCGTTTTGTCAACATTAACAAAATGACGTTTGTTTCAAATTTCCTAATCATATAACAATATAAAAGTTTTATGCAACCTATTTGTAATAGCAATTATCACACAACTCACAATTTCAATAGCTGTCCTAGTTATGTTTAATGACTACAGTTGTAACTGCAGACAATCGCAACTATAATCATGATTGCAGAAAATCATGACTATGATTATGATTGCAGACAATTACGACCATAGTTATGATTGCAGACAATTGTCATACAAATAAGCTATAAATTAAAAGTATAAAAATTGCTGTAAATTTTGTTAAAAAAAATAAAAATAAAAAAATAAGTAAAAAAAATAAATAAAAAAATGACAAAATGCAATATAAACTCCAATTTCTCAAAAACTAAAAAAAAACTCGCAATACATATATAAAAGCTATCGAGTCAGCTCTTATATAGTAAAAATTATAATCAGCTTCATTATATAACTAGCGAGTTGGTAACTAAGCACATGTTTGCTAAAATGCTTAGTCCCGTATTTATCAAGATCTACACCTAGTGATCTTAGCCAATGGTAAAAAAATCAGCTTAGCTGGTCAATTTTTTTAAAAATCAGCTAATCGATTTAATTATGATATTCCAATGTGGAAAATGAATGAACTTAATCTTCCAAAGGATTCTGAAATTTTAATAAAAAATCGACTAAGCTAGCTAAGCTGATAAAATTTTATCAGCTTAGCTAGTCGAAAAATTTTGATCAGCCAAGATCACTACCTACATCCCTGCAATGATAACTAATGCTTTTAGAGCTACAGGAATTTGGTCCTTTAATCCTAATACTATTAGCTCTCATCATCTTAATCTCTCTTTAACCACTGAATAAATTGATATTTTATCTTCATTCTCTCAACAAACCGATTATTCTTCTATATCATCTTTTTCTATATCATCTTTTTCTACATCATCTTTTACATATGCTAGAATTACTGAGGAGAATGAATTATTAGAAGCAAAAATCTATGCTCTCAGAAGAAAAAACATGCTACTAAAAGAAGAACTTGAAACATTTAAAAAGCCTGGTATCTGGCCATTAAAACTAGCCCTTAAGTATCCTACTTCTTGAATTCCAATACAGGCTAAGGAGAAGGAGTCTAATCAGTCAACAAAATGAAAAACTTTGCCATTTGCTCGACTTCTTACTAATGAAGATTCTCTAAGTACTCTAAAAGAAGCAGATAAGTTAGCAAAAAGTAAAGCAGAAAATTCAAAAAAAAAGAAAAGAGGAAGTAGCTCAGAAATGAGCTGACTGGGAAGCTGAAAAAAAAAGAAAAAAAGATGAAAGTGAGTGAAAAAAAGAAGAATGGTTATATAAAAAAAGAAATGATCATGTGTAATTATGCTATGCTATAACTTACTTATATTGACAATTCGATTATCGCTATCATAATACATATAGTTGATTTTCTTTAGCTAATAATCATTTTATACAAAATAGAATTTTTTACTAAGCAAATCAAATTTTATCCACTAAGTAAAGTTATTGAAAATATTGTTTTTTAAATACTTTCAAAGTTTGATGCAATTTGGTTAACTTTTTATTAATTAACTTTCATATTATATATTTTGATGCAGTAAATAATTTTTTTGCATCAAGATGTATAATATGAAAGTTGATTAATAAAAAGTTAACCAAATCATTTCAAAATTTGAAGATATATAGAAAATGATATTTTCAATAATTTTACCTAGTAGATAAAATTCGATTTGCTTAGTAAAAAAATCCTGTTTCCTTGTAATATGTTTAATTCACCACAATACTCATATTCGCTATAATACCTACATTTACCTTATATGCTACAACTATTACTAATAAAATATATAATATAACTAATACATATATGAAATATATAATAAATAGTATATATACTATATATATGATAAGTAATAAAAGTGTTTTAAAAACTATAGGTAATAAATGTATTATATATAACGAATCTCTCGCAGTAGTCACTCAGCTAATCAGATTATATAGATTATGATAAAAAGCTAGATTTTGATAATCTCAGAATTTAGTAATTGAATTTTAATTTAATAATTCTTAGCTCATTAGAACCATCTTAATAAGCTAATTCTAATGATATATATTTTATCTAATTCAGACTAATAGATTGAAAGTTATTAAGAAATTTATATTTTTCCTTATGTTTTATATGTCAACAATATACTAGTTGCTTGTATAGTAAGGAAGTCTAAAGCTATTTATACTAAGATTAGATATTAAGCAGAGAATACTTTTTATCATAAAAGTAGCTTTGCTTTAGTCTCAAATTCAATTAGATAATTCTTTAGTTTATTTTGATTCAAATTAAAAAGATGGCAGTTTACAAAATTGCAAAAAAAATTCTAAGCTAAATTGGAAATTATAAAAAGTAGTAATAGTTTATTTTTTTTATCTAACTTATATTTTTTATATATTTTATAAAGTATATTAATAGCTTGTTTATATTTATCAAGTTCATAGGTAGTAGATTTATTATATGAATTAAGAAGATCTGAAATTATTAATGAATTATTTAAGTAAGTCTAATATAATATAAGTTTTCTTTTTATTACTTTAGTTACTTCATATTAGATATTAACTTCTGACTTTATATTATTATTCAAATATATATTGCAAAGCTACAGAATATTATAAACAAATTATTTTAGATAGAAACTAAAAAAGAAAACAGTATTGTAGTTGCATAGTATATAGATTCAAGAAGAACTAGCAAGTCTTATAATTTATATATAATTAGTTAAAAATTGAATTAGTAATTTTATACAATAGAAAAATATTAATTTACTAACAAAAATTATTTTCTATTTTTGATTATTTAGATAATTTAGTTTTAATGTTTGGTTACTTGTAACAAAGATATTAGTTATAAGGTGAATTTATTAAAATTTCTCTAGTATAATATATAAATTATTCTAATGAGTTTTAATATCTGTTTTAGATATTAGAAATAGAGTATTCTTTATTTTAAAAATTTTTTAGTTTAGGTCTAGTGATCTTAGTATAGTAGTTAGATTTCTAGACTACTATGCAAGAGGTCTAGAGTTCAAATCCCACTGTTGATGAATTTAAATAATTACCTAGATCTTTGTATCTAACCTATAGTAAACTCTATCTGTTTCTAAGGTTATAATTCTATAAATCACATTATACTAGGTAAATGGATCTGCAGGTAAGCTAGCTGGCTTAAGCAGTTAGCTATAGTGATGATATTAGTTTAAGATAGAGAGAAGAGTTAATAATCAGAGTGTTTAAATAAGTAACTCACAGGCAAGTTGCAAGTATAGCAGTATATGTAGAACTAACAGATGGTCGATCATCTGTATAGCAGACTACTTAAATTAGACAATAACTAAAGTTGTACATATAGCTTATTATATACTCATCATGTAACTATAAAACTCTAGAAGACTACTCACGTAGTAGCTCTATAATAACAAATTAATAAAATCTAATCAGCAAAGGAAGCTACCTTAATAATAAAAAAAAAAAAATTATATTGCACTAATATTATTTGGATATTAGAAGTGTGATAAGAGTTTAGTGAGATATAATATTATATAAATATATCTTAATAGGAACTATGAGCAGATGATCTGCATAGTAGAAATTCTAAGTTAGTAAAGTAGTATAGCTTTCAATAGTCACACTAGCTAATACTTGATCCAGAAAGGAAACTATCATCAAAAGATGCAGATCAAGTCAGGTATGCATAAATCTGTTCCACAAGAAGAATTAGTAATACCAACCTGACTTGGCAGCTAACTGGATTAAGAGAATCTGCCTCATGAAATATCTAAGAAGATAGAATACAGAAAACTAGTGGAGAGCTATAGTAGAAACTGAGGTTGTATGAACATCTACAAGAGTCTAAACTAGGTAAATCTGTCAAATAGGTATAGATCACTCTAGTAGGTATGCTTTAAGGTTAACTAGATCTACGATACCTACAATATGTTAGGTACAATATATTCTAAGAGAATCTAAGCCGTTCTGAATAAATAGATCTGTAATGAGCTAGCTAGCTTAAGTGATTAGGTGTTGTAGTAACATTAGGTTGGATTTGTATAGGTTAATGAACAGAGTGTTTAAATAGATAACTCATAGGTAGGTTACAGGTATAGCAGCATAGTATAGAACTAATCAAATAGTCTAATCACCTGTGCAGTGAACTATTTAAAATAGATAATAACTAAAATTATATGTATGATTTGTTGTATACTCTTCATGTAATTACAAATAGTAGGGATTATTAATGTATAATCTCATCGACAATTCTAATAAAATTCTTTCAGCAATATAAGCTGTCTTAATAACAAAAAAAAAAAATTTTTTAGTTCTCTAATTAATGATTAGAAGTTTCTAAGTTTTATTTAAAACTCCCTTAGTTTTAGTTTTATTTTTTTTTGTTAAAGTTGAATTATATTGCTAAAAGAATTTTA